ATATACACACACTAGAGCATATGGGATTTTCCTGCAGGGAGCCTGATAGTGACTGTGCAGCAATAAGATAATTTCCTGTCAAAGAGGCTTTTATCAATCCATCACAGTGCTACATCCTCGTGACTAGACTCCTTGGATCCCTGTCAGCTCTTTCTCTGACTGAGCAGTGCTTAGAGTATTTAAAATTATTTCAAGAACCTTTTTAATGTCCTCTATAAAGTACAGTTATGCTCTTTGTGATGCAAAAGAGCAATGTCTTGCATTTGTTCATGTGAGTAATACTCTTATGCTAGAAGAATCAAAGCATAATTTACCACAAAGCTTTGCAGACATGAATACATTCAATGTTTAATGAATGTAAGAAGAAGACTTTCGGGAGGAGATGATAATTCGGGCCCTTAAATCACAGCACCATGCTGTGATAACCATGTTTTGACAACTTACATGAGGGTTATACCGGTCATCTTCTCCATGGGGCCAGATGTGTAAAACTGTGTAGTTTCACGGCTAAAGGAGTCTACGCATAAAAACAGTATTTCCAGACCTTTGAAGCTGTTTTTCTTTTACCACAATACATAAATCGCTCCAAGAATAAGTGCATGAATGATCAGAGGAACATGAGGGTTGCGTACATTCTCATTTCATGTTTTGCCTTTATACAATTTAGTATGCGTTGATGAAAAGGTGTACTCTTGTTTTTTTGGTGTATGCATAAAGTATATAAAGTCCATCAGAATTCTTTTAGAAGCATACATCTACTTAAAACGGAATAAACACATATTATCACCAAACAGATGTCTGATATTTCTCGTTGTTCGTTATGATAAGTCTGCTTAATCTGCCCAGTTGTTCGCTCTAATAATACATTCATGGGTTTTTTACAGTTTGCAGCTAACCCGTGACAGTTGAGGGAGCTACATCATCAACATGCACAGAGTGACTCCAGATTGTTTTCTCTGTCTGTGAGGGATTCAGCGGCTCTGGTCAAAACATCCACTAAATCTCATCTAAATTTGGCAAAGAGCGGGGAAAAGGGAATCTAAGTGTTGCAGGAAATGAAAGAGGCTGCTGAAAAAAAGGAAGATTACAAAGCCAGCAACTTGTCAGTAGGTCAAGGATAGACGATGTTGCCCATGTTGGACTCTGATAACACTTAATAAATGCAGTTTTCTGTGTCTATATATTTGATATTAAAGAATCAAGTCCTTGGGTCTCTTTTCTTGTATTTTTCATGTATCCACAAAAGCAAACAGACTTGAATGGGACAGCTGTCCCACTTTATTGTGCTATATCTACACAAGGTCATCCGTTTGATGTTTTCTCCAACATGAGCGGTGACTCGTGTAGTAATGTCAGACAACGCAGGCGTAGACTTCTGAGGTCAAATGCACCATTCAGTGGAAAGGCTGCAGGCGGTGATCAAAGAACACCTCCACTGCGGCACCACGGATGCTTTTTTTTCTTCCTTCCTTGATTTCTTTTAGGTCAAGAACTTCGTCTGTTAATATTTCCTAGCTGCTCTGCGTGCTTTGATCTGCATCCCTGCTTCCATTTATTGCAAGTTAATAAAGAAAAGTCCTTCTGAAAGCCCATTTTTAATCAACATTGTAAAACAGCACAAAGATTCTTCACTGTGGCGGACATGTGATTAATAAGGACTGGTGTACATTTATACATCATGTTTATCATATAAATAACTATAGCTTTACCTGTTTTTGTACTAAAATGTAAACTGATTTTATTATTTATTAAGTATGAAATTGTTCTCACAGCTAGGATACTTCCAGATTAAACAGAATGTATTTTTTAATCTGACTTCATGACATTTATAACCCTCTCTCGTTCCATTAAAAACCCTCTCAGTGGGACTTTTTCTTCAAGAAGTTGGTATGCAGATAATGATCTGGACACTTTGACTTTTAAGAGTGAAATAAAAAGTCTAAGAGGCGTGATCAAAAAGCATAAAAGTGCTCATGCATCTGTCTCCATTTTTATCATTGCTCTTATCTCAGAGGCAGATGATTCTGACGACTCTTGATTTGTCCTTCAGCACTGTCCACTTCAATTCACTTCAGATACAGAGCATCAATTCACAAGTCATCTCAGGGCACTTCACAGAAAAAGTTCAAATCCAGCTGTGCGCAGTTGACTTCAATTTAATTTATGTCAACGTAGTCCATTTCACTCTAATTATTATTCAGTCCAATGCACTTAGATTGAGGTACATTCCAGTTCAGCCAGTTCAACCCAGTTCAGTATGTTTCAAATGACTCCAATCATGATTTTCTTCTGTACAGTCACGTTCATTACATGTGTAAATACAAAAATAATGATTAATAAAACATTATGTAGTTAGAGAAGGCAATAGGTCATGTTGAAACTACACTTCGATCCCCTGTTCTGAGCCAGCATTGGGTAGGTAAGCATTAACAATAGACTGTTGTTAGCAGGCCACAGACTGACGAAGTCCTCCAGATGGAGGACGAAATGTTTCTCACTTAAAGAAGGTCCAGATGACATGATCTAACCTTTTTTGTTGTTAACATCAACAACAACAAAAAATACTTTAACCAGAAGATACCATGATGCAAACTTCAGAAGGATGCACATCTACTGCTTGTCAGGAGGACGAGACCAAGGTGCAAACACAAAGCAGTTGGTAATGAAAGCCTACGTAGAGACAGAATAAAACACAAAGTTAGAGACAATAATAGTAAATATTTACAAGAAAGAGAAGTTTGACGAGGAGGTCTTCAGGAAATCCTGTCATCCGGCAGTCTTGCCTAACTAATGATTCGTTTAAATCTTTTTTTTTTTCTTCTTCTTCTTCTTTCGGCTGCTTTCTTCTTCTGGGGTCACCACAGCGAGCTAACTCGCATAAAGACTTAGCAATTGTATTGTATTTTTACATCAGATGCCCTTCCTGATGCAACCACAGACCACCGAGGTAGAGAGAGAGCTGTCATCAAGACATCAACCTCTATCTTGTCTGATTTTAAAAGCCAAAAAAATAAATAAATAAATAAATAAATAATAATTCAGATGATTATGTCTCTAAAGACGTGCTTATGGTTTGATTCAGCAAGTGTCATGAATAAGTATAAATAGTCAAGTAAAATTAGCATAACAGTGGAGTCATATGTTGTGCTGTCCACCAATATTGACTAATAAAACATTTATAAATTGTGCTCGTCCAAACGCAGCACCTTGTATAGCTTCTTGACTCTGGTTTATGAAGAACATTAATTATTTATGCAAAAAAAATGGAAACCATCAGATAAGAATGACATAAACCAGTTTATGTCTGTTTTCTCAATTCTAATAACATGTACATGCCTCTGCATGCTAATATGGTAGACTGCATACAATTTCAGCACTAAAATCCAACATGGCAGATATCATTACAGGTCAGTGGACTGAAGCAATGAGAATGTTATGAGTAACTTTTTAAGTGTTTTTTGTTGTTATTGTTGTTGTTATTATCATAAGCTGACATGACAACAAGGGCATGACATCAAGGTGGTTTTTACAACCAGGAGCTGCTGATTACTATCTCAAAGCTCAAACAATATCTCAACTACAGCCCCAAATTTCAAATGAGTTGAAAAGGAGGTGCTGTAGATGCATCCCTATCTCCCTGCTGGCTGTGCTCGAGTGCCTGACTGATGAGATTCTGGAACTGGCAGGAAACATGGCTTGTGACAGCAGAAGGACCGAGATTATCCCTCGGCACCTACAGCTGGCTGTCTTCAGCGGCGATGAGCTCAGTAGACTGCTGGGAGGAGGAACCATCGCTCTGGGAGGACTTCTGCCTGGCATTCGGGTGATCCTGCAGCCCGGGGTAACTGAGAGGCCCTCTGAGTCTGGGTGGATGGATCAGCATCTGCGGCCAGTTTCTTCTGATCCACTATGGGATAGACCTTTACAAGAGATCCTTCCTGCCTACAGCCATCAGCATCTGTAACATATCTTAATGAAACAAGGATAACAAGTTACAACATTTAATTTCCCTTTGGAATTAATAAAGTATATTTGAATTGAAGCTCTGAATCCTTACTAAGACTGTTCATACTGATTATCGTACATCTGTTGTATTTATTTGCATACCCAGTCACTAAATATAGATTGATCATACAGGAAGGAATTTATTAGAGGTACTCATTTCACTATTTGGTTGAGATGGGGTCTTAAAATGGTTAATGGTTTGGTTTGCAGTCTTTTAGTCATTTAACTGTTGCATGTCTTTGTGTTCCTGCAGTACAAACAGGTTGAGCAGTACATGTCCTTCCACAAACTGCCGGCTGACATGAGACAAAGAATTCACGATTACTATGAGCACCGTTACCAGGGCAAGATGTTTGATGAAGAGAGCATCTTGGGAGAACTGAACGAGCCATTACGAGAGGTAGGAAAAGTGTTTATGTTGTGGTTTGCTGAATGTAGCCTGTGATACATTAAAAAAACATCATTCTTAGTCAAGCTATGTGCTGAGATTTTCCTCATTCTCAAGCAAGTATTAGACCACATGCAAACAAGGTAACAAATGAAATCCTAGACCTCAGCTGACTACCTTTAGATCCATTTTGTCTGAAATTCTGACAGGTCGGTGCTTTTTGTAAACCTTCAGCCTTGTTATGCCTTTTTTATGTTTTACACCCCTCTATCTTTTTAAACAGGAAATAATCAACTTTAACTGTCGAAAACTGGTGGCGTCAATGCCTCTCTTTGCTAATGCCGACCCCAACTTTGTGACCTCCATGCTCACCAAGCTGAAGTTTGAGGTGTTCCAGCCTGGCGATTACATCATCAGGGAGGGCACGATTGGCAAGAAAATGTACTTCATACAACATGGAGTTGTCAGCGTACTAACCAAAGGGAATAAAGAGACCAAGCTTTCAGATGGCTCCTACTTTGGGGGTAAGTTGAGATGGTTACTCACTGTGGAGCTTAAAGCTGTGTTGAATTACTATTTTAGATCCTTATTTACAAACTAAACTTTCTTACTTGACCTCTTGTAACTGCCACTAAAGAGAATGATGAGTGGCTACAATGTCAAAAAGAATAAATAAATAAATCTCAGAACTGGAAAAAGTAGAATCATACCAAAGGCCATCTTCAGTTGCAGAAAAAAAAAAGCAGTGTGTAATATGGTGTTGGCTGTAGTTTTTCATATGAAGAAACCTATACATTTACACATAAGATCTTAGGATTTTGATGTTTCTGTGATAGTTTTTGGTTTGCAAAAGCCTGAAAATGTTTGTGGCTTTGTCAGACTGAGAGCAGAATGGTGCAAGGATACTGATTTTGGTTCCCTGCTATCGTTTTATAGTCTAGACACCTCATGCTGTTATAGGCTGGCATGTCTTTGCTCAAAGTTTCTGGTCAGAAACATCCCCTTATTTTTATGTTTCTTTTTTTTAAATACTCTGCTTAGTTTGCGGTGGCACGGTGGCACAGTGGTGCAGTTGGTAGAGCTGGTTCCTCTCAGCAAGAAGGTTGCCAGAATGTTTTCGAGTTTGCATGTTCTCTCCGTGCATGTGTGGGTTTTCTCCGGGTACTCCGGTTTCCTCCCACAGACCAAAAACATGCATGTTAGGCTGATTGGTAACTCTAAATTGTCTCTAGGTGTGAGTGAGAGAGTGAATGGTTGTTTGTCTCATTTGTCTCTATGTGGCCCTGTGATGGACTGGAGACCTGTCCAGGGTGTACCCCACCTCTTGCACAGTGACTGCTGGATATGAGCACCAGTGCCCCTGTGACCCGAAAAGGAAGAAGTGCGTAAAGATAATGGATAAATACTTAGTTTGCCTTTGAATCTGCACTTTTTGCTGTCCTGTTGCACCTCAAGCAGTTGGTCTAAGTTTGTATTTGAAATTTAAAGCAGATGCATTTTGGAAGAAGTATTCGTTTTTGGAAATGGTCTGTTGTGCATTGCTCGTCGCCTCACTTAAAGTTCAGCTTCATGGTTAATGCAGGACGTTTCCCTTAATTCACATTTCATAAATGTAGAGCACATCCAAATGAGCAAAACAGCTTTTTCAGTCAGACATATGCATCCAAATGCCAGAGAGATCAGGAAGCTGTGAAATTACTCACTATATAAATGCCTAGCTCTGGTGTGATAACCCTGCCTTGTTATGTATTTAACTTGCGCTATGTTCTTAATCAGGGTCACATAATGCCTAGCCCTCTCATGGTCCCACTGAGCTGATGACACATGTAGGAGACAATGCTGCCATACTGCCCTCACCAAATACCAATTATTTTGACTGCTGACAGCATATAATTTAGAATACAGTACACTGTTAAGTAATTAGAAGTGGTGGCAAAGCATTTAACTGCACATGACCTGGCAGTGAAAAGTTTAATTACGCTTTGCCTGCTCAAGTCTATCTCCATGCCCTTTCTCCGCAGGGGTTTGGGAGAAATAATGAAAAGATGGCAAGCAATCTATCTCTACATATGCCAAAAGCAATCAACACTTATGACAACATGGTCACGCCTCTTGCAAAAGGTCTTTTGAAATGCCCACAGTTCTCTTGGCTTTGGTCCCTCTTGGGCATAGCAGTCCTCAAATTCAGAAAATTCAGTGTGTTCACATCCATTTCTTGTGCATGTATACTAAATGTGGTTGATTTTGCCAGCATAAAATGAGATTGAGCTGCTCAGATTTACTGATATTCTTACATTGTCAAATGAAATGCATATATGTTTTTGCTTTAGGTGTAAAGTGTATTACAGCTGAGATAAGTGCAAAGGCACTGATTCTTAAACAGCCACCTTGCACACTTTAATTTTAACCCTTGGATTTGTAATTATTTTTACTGCAATATTTGCACAAGTCTTTTGATTTCATGATCCTGTTTTCCTATTTGTTTATTTATTCATTTTTTTCCTGGCAATGCCATTTCTCTAAGGGTGTAAGTGTGGGGGGGGTAGTGAGGGAAGCCTGGAGCCACTGGGAGTTTGTTACCAAACACGAGTTAGTCATTCATGAAATTAATTGATGTAGGATCAACACTATGAGTGTGCAGCACATGTGGGTTTCAATGTGGCTGTTGGTATCAAGCAGAAACATAAAATAAAAACTATACTGTATTTTTTTTTCTGTGTTTATACAAGGATTTGTAAATTATCTCTGTTCTGATTGCAATTCTTTCTAATTGTGCGAGCTTGTCCATGCAGAACAGAAGCCCTCCAGCCATAACAAAGCTTTTCCTTTTGTCAACTCTGGTTTACAGTACGCCAAATTGCACGTGTATCTTCTCATCAGCATCTCGGCACACTCGTGCACCGTTCTGTTCATTCATTCAAAGATGACCTGAATTATTTACACAATTATAGACTCTGCAGTCTGTTACACTTTGTTAGCTGTTGGATTAGCTCGAGCCAGAGAGCCTAAAGTCTAAAGTGGACTCGACATGTCCTGGATGGGAGCGTCGGCTGGGCACACAGTGATCTAGAGAAGAGGGGAAATGTAATGTGACTGCAGTACTCACGCCAAGGGACACATGGATTTCTGCCAAGGCTGTTCTCTGGATGCTGCTCAGGGCTGTGAAAGAAAACATGCACCCTCCACCCCCACTCTCAGCTTGCCTCTTTATCTCTTCATGATTCAGTATTGAAACACTTATCAGAACATCTTCTGCACTCTCTGTGTGCCAAAACCGAGGAGGCTGTTGTGGTGTTATAGTTCAGCCTTTGTTGTGCAGTAGGCAATGTGTTGCCAGCGCAGACTACGGCACGCGTAGGGTCGAAGCAGAGCTCAGTGACCTTGTGATGGTGCTGCGTGCCATTCAAGGTGTTTATCAAATGCCACATTTGATTGAACCTCTAAGATGTCTCACTTTGGCTCTGTGTGAGTGGCATGTAGTAGCCCTTTGAATGAAGTGGGGAGAAATATGACCGGCAGGCAGATGAAGGGGATTGAAAAAGGGGCTTGAGATGATGCACATTTTGCCATCGCCTGTGTCATCTTCTTGGCTCTACTCTGGTTCTCTGTGAGTGTTCTCACTAAATCCATAGACTTTCTAAATCCTAGGATAAGGAACCAAAAGGTTTTTTCTTTCCCTCATTCTATTTATTATATTCCCCTAGACTTCCTTTTTCTCGGAGATCAAAGAAACTGCTTTAAGAGCTGTAAAATGGCCGCTCAAACATTGAGTCAGAACCCCTTTTTCCTCCTGTTAACCCATTTGACACATTTTTCTGTCTTTGACTGGAAAAGCTTAACTGAGCAACTTTGATACAATACACAGTATAAGGATACATGATGATATTGGTTGTTTTTAATTTAAAAGGCATGCAATGCAAAACAATATGCTGCAGAACATTGTTGGACACTGTATATTAAGGTAATAAAAATAATGATGATGATGATATTAATAATAATAATAATAAAGGCCTGTGCAGGCGTTTCTGTGTGGAGTTTGCATACTTTCCCAATATATGTGTGGGTTTTCTCCAGAGATTCAGTTTTTTTTTTCCACAGTTTAAAACATGCGTGTGTGTTGGACCTGTTCAGACGTCCAACTCACAACCAAGGGTCATGCGAGCACAGATAATTAGTCAGTGGCTTATATTAAAATCCAACACTTAAAAAAATAACTAATTGATTAGATCTAAAACAGTTCATGCAACAAATCTCTAAACGTTCACCTTGAATGTTTTATGTTACAACATATTTCATATGAGCTGAGTCAACACAACCTCTTAGTTTTGGCTCAGCTTGTAAGATATATAAATGAATAAATATTTATATTGTTGCAAGGTTTGATCATAATTTGTCTTGTTTCAGTTTGATTTATTATTATTCACTTAAAAGACAGACACAAGTAACACAAAGTTTTTACTCGTCAGTAAGATTCTTACTTTGTCACTAAAATGTATAATTTGTGTAAATCAAACCATATGCATATATATAAAATATTAAGAGTAAGTAAAATACCTGAACAAACCAGTTTAATTGGGCACAGCAGCGTTTAAATAGTTTAATTAACACTAAATGATAATAGTACCATCTTACCTTGTCTGGATAGATGTTAAACACATTTTTTCCCCATTGTTTATAATTTTTTCTTATCTATTCTGCACCACCGCTAGATTATTTTTTTTTAAACCTCAGTATTTTCTGTCCACAAATATCCATTTGAAACTGAGTTTTAAAAAATCTGCACTTCGGAAGAATTGTATTTTAAAATAGGTTTTCTCCTCATTATATCTGTGGCTGTGTGTAGACAGCAGGTGCACATGCAGCAGAAAATCTTATTTTATTTGAAAAACATCCAGGGAAGTGTAGATCAGTGATGTACAGTCAGGGAAGGCAAGTGATGCAGTGCCACACCTGTCATCACGACAAGTAAAATACCAACAATGATAAGAGAAAATACATTTGACCACTTGAATGTTCTATAAAACTGTTTTATAAAACAGTTTTCTGAATTATTTCAACACTTCAGTGGTCAAAATCGCAGAATTTACACATTGCCTTTTCAAACACATGGAAGAAATGCAGGGTGAGGCAGTGTAGTGCTCTGGTTCACCTCTGGTGGCGCTGTGTCATATAAATTATATGAAGCAGGCAGTTGGTGCACGCCCATTGCTGTCTCTCTTGATATCGCCAATATACATGTTTGATTACACATGTGCTGCACATGCTGATGTTCTACAGTCTGTCTAATATATTGAATGAAAGTGTGTGTCATATTTCTTCATTCTAACTGGTCATAATGCACGCTGAAAATACACAGGGTGAGGCAGAAAGTACCGTGCTGCACCGCTAGGGGGCAGTGCTGCCCCATAGGGACAATGAAGCAGGTGCAGTCGCTGTGTTCTTCTGTTACACAGAGGGACAGGGGTAAAGCAAATCGGTACACTCATTTAAATTTGTTTAGCCAAAATGGAAGATCATACCTCAA